TGTATATGTATAACACATTAATCAAGGATGGTAACTATATATGTTATTAGCTTCATCTTCTCTATGCTACCAAAGAATAACTCATTGAAGGTCCATAATAAAAGTAATCACTGAATGTGTTTATAATTAGCCAATTTTCTGTTTCCAAAGTTTACAGGATGTCATTAATTTCCTCTGATAGTTATTTTCCCACTCCTTTTGGTTAGAATGGTCAGAGTTGCAGGGACATGCATTTAGAGTATTGGTTGAAAGAAGCAACTAAGCCTGAGTTTCATACTTTTTCTGTTTTTAAATGCTGAATACTAACTCAGGCCAAGGAGTGGTGTGCTCTGCTGTACTGCACTGTTGCCTGGGCTTCATCTACCTTAGCAGGTAATTAATTCCCTAGCCTGCTTTTTTTCCTAGTTGGCTCTTGTTTAGCTCCCACGGAGCCCCACCCCAAAGTGCTTCATTGTCCCTCTGCTAACTCTTCCTACATATGGTCAAAATCAACTCACCTTCCAGGTTGCTGACACCAGCAGCTTCACTGTTGGGCAAACACAGATCTGATTCCAGTGACCCTTTGTTCAAGAAGTGTTATTATGAGTTTATCTGATACCTAACAGGCCGATCTTCCACTCTGGGATTTGCTTTTGAGGAGAAACTCTGTGTTCTGGACTCACAGCCACACGAAGATTATTAGCACTCTCAGACCTGTTGGGTACTAGAGCATTGCTAACGAGCAAACAGCCCTGTCTCAAGTAGAGGTTTGTGAAATATTCCTGGATAGCCAATTGTTTTTGCTCCCTGGTAATCACACTGGCTCTTGGGATGAAAATCAACCAAGCAAAAATTGTTCCCTTGTTGAGTACTGCTGTTTTGATCTCCTAAGTTGTATCTGTAAAAAGAATTTAAATTTGCTATCTCCCCAGAGCTGAGGTTTGGTTTACACATGTAATCAAAGCATTGGTGTTTGTTTTCTTGTGAATCTTTCCACACTATTTAGATTAGCATCTTTTGAGACTGGTCTATAATAATTATTTAGGCTAGGCTATTTTAGAAACATGTTAAGAAGTGAACATGAATCCAAAATGATAAACTGCTATATTGGTAATTTCCTTAAGCACAGGTGTTTTAGGAGGGGAGTTGGGAGGAGCACGAGGCAGGGGGGAGGTGAGGGGGAAGTGAGGGAGGAAGGGGGACAGAGGCACAGGTTCATCCAGATCACAACTTCTATTTTGACTTTTAAATTCTCTGCTTCCTAATTACTGAGTAACTTCAGATTGCAGACCTGGTAGCCCCAGCAATTGAAAAGAAAAGCTTCAGTATACAGCTTGGGAACCAAAAGTAGTAAAGGGAAAAGAGTGCAAGATTGTTAATAATATTTGAGTATATTTATTGTGATAAGAATGCTGTTATAAATATTCATAAGCAAAGGCCATCTTTTTAAATCTAGGAATTGCTAAAAGATTCCAAATTGGATACATCTTTTGTAAAATCTGTCACAAATTCCCGTTTCTCTACAAACATTATCAATGGTCACAACACATGCCCTTTGATACAATCCCAAGCCTTGAAGTGTTGGCATTAGCACCCGACCCCTCCACGGCAGCCTCTCTTCTTCCAGCTTCCTGAAACAACACATGGTTTTTGGTAAGCAATTCCTTACAGACAGCAGAGAAGGAACAAGCACAATCTGATGATAGCATCAGGTGTATGTTTCTAAAGTCTAGTAGAGGATACAGTTTATACTGCTTGATAGCAAGAAGAACTACATGTGATTTTAACTGACAACCCTTTCAACTCCACCTAGATAGCTTTAGAGATAAGGCAGAACAGAGGTTAGGGGATACTTTTTCAATATTTTATTGTATTTTTCTTAAATATCCCTTCTGGAATTTTCAGAAACAAAACATAAAAAAATTATATATTTTTACAAGTGGTAAACTCAGAGTACTCCAAATCTCTTATTTACAAACAACACTGGGGAGGACACACAAACATGAAATAACTTACAAAGGCAGGAAGCTGTTTTATTGACAGTAACCAGCTTTTATCAAATTAAAAAATATATATATGTACATGAACAGTTGAGGAAGGCAGGCCAGAAAGAGTTCACCTGCAGGCTCAGCCTGGCCCTCACACCCTCCCTCCCTCCGCCCTCCCCTCTGTGTTCTTAAGGAGTACTACAGAAGCAATCTACAGTCTCTATTGCAGATTATAACCCTCCAGCCCCCCGGTTTAATACTGAATGAGATCGAATGTTAGGTCCATGCAGTTCTTGGTCAATGTTAAAAAAAAAAAAAAAAGTCCATCGCCCAGTTCGCGCGGGGACAGCCCGTCCGCAGTGGGAGCAGCCCGCAGGCGGCTGCTCTAGGGCTCCATGCCAAGGCAAGCGCGCCAAGTCCTTCCCACTTGTGCCCGCTGGGGGCGCCGTCAGGACGCAACCTAGTCCAACTTGGACACCCTCGGCTTCAGTCCTGGGACACTTCTTTCTCTGTCACAAGCTGTCAAGTTCTCAAGTCAGTCCGTGTTACTTTGTTTCAACGCTGCTCTCACCCTCCATAGTCTCTCCTCAAAACGTCTGCAATTGCTGCGTTAGCATGAGCTGGCACCCACTGTTTACGTGGTTCATGACTTTCTGTTTAAGCTGCGCCACCTGCTCCCTGAGCATGTTGGCCGTGGACGCCAGCTCCGAGTTCTGCGCTTTCAAGGTTTTCACTTTTTCCTCCAGCCGGGCGATCCTCTCCAGCTTCCTCTTCCTGCACTTGGAGGCGGCGATGCGGTTCCTCATGCGCTTCCTCTCAGCCTTGATGCGCTCCTGGGACTCCATGTCGATGGGGGACAACGGCGGCGTCTCGCCGGGCATCTCGGGCACCGTCTGCGGCTCCTCCTTCAGGGCCTGCAGCCGCGGGTGCTGCACGGGGAGCTGCT